GAAACAACGACCATATTTATTACATCACCAGTTCACCACACACAAATCAGGTGCCAACCAACACCACGTACAGCCAACTAAACTCGAGACCCCGGTTGATTTTCCACTTTATTAGTTTTACCTAGCGGGACACACGAACAAGTAGGGTCGAACGTGGACGCACTGGCGAACGGAACAGAACGAGCTAACGGCACGGATGACCTACAGTAGCATGCATGGGACGTCTCGGCAGGACGGGGCGAGCGGGCGGACTAGCAGAGCCTCTCGCAGAAGCACTTGCGCTCGAAGTGCGGCGTGTGGCACTCGCCGGGGGAAGTTCTCGGTGCGGCAGACGGCGGGGCAGTTGCTGCTGCTGAGGCAGGCGCCCTTGAAGTTGTGGCTCTGCGACACGCAGTCCCGCGCCTCCGCCACCTTGGTCGTCGTCGCCCCCATCTCTGCATGCACATCAACCAAACCACGGTCAGCAGAGCATCATCATCGAGGGAACAAACCCTGCAGTAGAGCTCGGCAGCGCGACGTATCTGTGGCCACAAGGAGGACCAGCAGGAGGAGGGCGGAAGGGGCCCTGCGACGAGAGAGCGCCATCGGTCTGCTCTGGCTCACCCGAGACGACGTACTGGACCGAGCTATCCTACTGCTGCTACGTGGAACTGTGTGTTGTCTAGCTAGCAAAACGAATGGGCACCAGTGAGAAGCACAGTGTGCTCGCCTGGTGGGGTTTATATAGGCGGACGGCAGATTAGTGGGTGTTCAAGTTGTGGGCTTATTAACAAACGTAGTCTCCATCTGAATTTAATTGCTCACCTATACAGCCAACCATACTGCACACAGCAGTAGGGGAGTAGTCATTTCACGATTACTACCTTTATACTGAAGAGTAACATATATACGGTAATATGAAACACTTTATTTATTAAATTATAGACTCATATTGTCTTGATATGTGTGACGTTAGTAGTACCTAGATATGTTAGTACCACATGTTTCTCTTTCTTCATTTATTGTTTGCCGCATCATCTATTTTATCTAGCGCAGTGCCCACCGCATTCAATTGCTGCCCACCGACACAGTTGTCACCTCCCCCGATCTCGGTACTGGCCCATTCCCTGTAGCCATTCAAGTCCATTAATTTCATTCCATTTACATGTAGAAACTGGTGGATGTGGACTGGGCGGCCATTTCACGGGCTGGATTTCCTTGCCGATGAATGGTCATCAAGGTCACATGCTGCTCGTCAGGCAGGCCGAGGACCTACAGGAGTACAGATTACAGCTGGATTCCATCCAAACTGATGAGTGGACAACAACCTTTGAGGCGAGTGCGTATCCTATGCAACTGGTGCATCGCCGCACACCGAAAATCTATGATAATTTTTTCAAAAACTCTGAAATATTCTACTTCCTCCGTTTGCAAATACTTTTCATCACGTTTAGATACATCATTTTTTATTCATTTTGATGACAAGTATTTCCTGATGAAGAGAGTACTACATTAAAACAACAAACACGTAACATGTCACAAATTTCTGGTTACCATTTTAACTCACAGCTTCAAGTTTTTTATTTCAGCAATCATATCTGTAAGAAGTAAACAAAGACAGAGACAAGATTAACAGAGAAGTGCTAGAGTATGAAGAATCCAAGAGCATATATAAACCGCACACAAGACATGCATGAAGTTGGTAAGAAGAATAGGAAGATCTTTTGCGATGAGTATGTGTGCGAGCAATGTTTGTACAAAGCTAGAAAAATAATGTTTTTTACCACTAACTCCAAATAAAATGATGTTATAATCTTACCATGGCATCTCCATGGATGTTACCGTAGTTCAACACGTGCACTAGTGACACGTATTGACCATAATGTGGAGGAGTTTAATAATAGATATTGCAATTCTCAAGATTAGTAATAAATGAGATCAGATGATTTTTCTCCTGATAAGTTAATTCTGAACCATCGATGTAGTAGGCTATGTCTACCATCTTCCGCACATTCTTTAAAGAATGAAAATAAGTTGTCAATGGAATAAGCTGTCAACTATTTTGAAATAAACAATATAAATTAGTTAATAATTTTTTTATTTTAGAAAAGGAGGAAGACCACCGGCCTCTACATCTAGACGATGCATGCAGCTGCTTTATTAATTGTTCACACAATACCTTACATAGTAATACAACAGTAAGACTAAAGCCACCGTCTATGCAATATTGGTCGCTACTCCTATCCAATTGATGAAGGGATGCTAATAGTCTGGGCCTAATACCAAACAGACCTCGCAGCCAAACCTTATATCTAAGACCTGAGGTTCCATCCAGGACGCCTGCCGGGTATGAGGCCACTGCAGCCACCTACCATCAATCCATCTTCAGAGCTGTACTGCTGCATCTACCTTTCCTGGTCTAGCTGCCGTCGACGCCACCACGATGCCAGACCGCCTTACCCACTTGCGCGAGTCCATCTCGGTGCATCGGATGACGAGTCACCACAGCGCCATGCCTCCGAGACCCGCTGCCATCAATGAGTGAGATGACACATCCCTCTACCAAAGAATCCGTCCTCTGGTCCCTCGATCACGTGTGTACCTCCAAGAATGACGCCCCCAGGAGGGATTAGTTAATAACTATGTTTGAGAAACTCACATAGCGGTAGAATTGGAAGCGTATCAACAAGGACCCAATGTCCATATTGCCTTGGGCGATGTCAGGATCACCAAGATCCACGGTGACAAGCATACCCTCATAAAAACCATACGTCTTGCAAAGTGCTTCCCAATTCGTGCAACCAAAATGGGTTACGCTCTCAGAATTGTACAAATTTACTTCAAAACCATACCATGATGAGTCCTTAGGTGAATTTTCTTTGTTTCCATACTTTTATGATCTTCAAAATCCATCCTCTCCAAGACATAGCATCTTGCATGGCATGGGATAAGCTAGTCGAATTATAAAAGATGAAAATTACACGTTAAAATAGTTAAAGTCGTATTTAATTATGAAAAAAACCACTTGTCATCATTGCGTACCGTTTCAACATCGAAGGTCTCCTGAAGCTTAATGTTGAAGCGTCGATCTTCGTCCAGGTGAGGCATGTCGCACAGACCTCGATCATCGTTGCACTAGTCGCACTCCCCCGGGAGACTTTGGTCGTCCGATGACGATATTTCCTATGTTCATAACTCAAAGATTAAACTTGTACAATTAAATATATGTATCACAAAAACTAAATTAGATCATTATTATTCATCACAGATTGACTATCGGTCTGCCGAGTCTTTTCTTCAAAACTCTGAACTCACGTGGTGTATATATTCGACCGTCGGTGATGGTCGCTCCTCCCTTCGTCCCCGAGTGCATTACACCAAAATGTCTAGCACACGGGAACGAAGGAGAAGCGACCCCCACAACAACAGTCGGGATTCTTCGTCCTCTCATATATGGTGGAGACTCCCCCTCACTGATTCCTCTCTAACATTTGCGACCGTCGGTGATGGTCGTCACTCCTCCTTCCCCTAGTGCATAACAAAGGTCTAGCACAAGGAGAAGAAGAAGAAACGACCCCCGCGACAACAGTCAGAATTCTTCGTCCTCTCTCATATATGGTGGACACACTCCCTCACTGATTTTTCGATCGTCGGTGATGGTCGTTATTCCTCCTTCCCCTAGTGCATAACAACGGTCTAGCACAAGGAGAAGAAGGAAAAACGACCCCCACGACAACAGTCGGGATTCTTCTTCTCTCATATTTGGTGCAGACTTTCTCCCTCACTCATTTGTTGATTGTGATGTATGGAGCCTCGACAGACTTAAAAGTCAACCCGAAATGTCGTTTAATTATCTTTTTAGAAAATCTAGGCCATTTGATATTTCCTACATATTCTAGCACAAGTCATGCCAAAATTCACGGAAAAATCCGGCATGACGTTCGCTAAAAAAGGACATATCGAGCGCCTGAAATTTGCCGGGATGATGGAGGGGCTCCTTGATTTATGCAAAAAACAAAAACCCTATAAGCATCAACTAATCAAATGCATACGCCTTGCATAGTGGGCTCCAATTTGAGCATTCAAAATAGGAGTACTTCTCCAATTTGAGCATTCAATAAGCAAAACCAAATCATAAAATAAATAAGTATTCAAATTAACATGCATTCAATAAGCAAAACTAAATCATCTCTCGCGTCCGTACATCGTCGAATATTATCACTAATACATCTCGAATAGTATCATACATATAATATCACTAATATAGCTAAAACCCTAGCGAACGACGGGTATCGGCGCGGGTGGTGGATACCCAAAGAGAAGGAACCATCACAGGATCATAGCTCTAGTGAGATCCCTGAAGAACCTGCCAGGTATTGGAGAACCTGCCCTCCAACGCAACCATGTAGCGACGGACGTGCTCGTCCTCCTCGCTGACACGGTGACGTACCACCTCCGCGGGGACAAAAGCCTCCGCACCGTAACTAGCCCACGCGACCGCCACCAAAGAAGGTTCGGGTCAATGACGGGCTGACTCCTCACCAAGCTGCGCCTCCCGGAAGGTAGCACCTCCCAGTACCAGCCGGCGGATCCAAGTCCCAGACATGGCCCCTTTGATCAAGCAGGTGTCCTCCGCCGAGTCGACGACAAGGATGCGGGATAGGCATCGTCGACATCGGTGCGAGAATAATTGCTTTAACTAAAAAATAACAACAATGTAACATGTTCAAAATATGACATGTCCACTTCAAAACGAATCAACCTAGAATACTGTTAAATACACCTAAAAATAAACTAGTTCTATTAATTTTCTTACTAAAAATAAACTAGTTCTATAGTAAAATTTTAATTAGATCATCAAATCTCATATACCTAAATTTCTTACTAAAAATAAACTAGTTCTATTAATTCAACTAAACACTTACTATAAATAAAAATAAACTAGTTCTTACTAAAAATAAAACTAGTTCAACTAGTTATATTAATTTTCTTACTAAAAATAAACTAGTTCTACTAATTCAAGTAGTTCTTACAAAAAATAAACTAGTTCAACTAGTTCTATTAATTTTCTTACTAATTTATTAAACACTTACTAAAAAATAGTAAAAAAACTATATTGATTTTCCCTCTAAACTAAACGCTACTGCCCTAATTGACATCTAGTTAAACCCTACTACCCTAGCCTTGCTGCCCTAGTTCTTAAGCATCTACAAGTACTAAGTAATTAGATGAACAATAGATAGGTACTTAAGAATCTACAACTACTTAAGCACCCATTGATGAACCCTAGGAATTTGTCCTAAAAACTAATTAAGCATCTACAACTACTCCCTAAAAACTAATTAAGCATGTAAAACTAATGTCCTATATAACTACTTAAGCATCTACAAATAGTAGCTAATTTGATGAACCCTAACTAATGACATGTGCTACCTCTTGAGTACTGCGTTGGTTTTCCCTTGAAGAGGAAAGGGTGATGCAACAAAGTAGCATAAGTATTTCCCTCAGTTTTTGAGAACCAAGGTATCAATCCAGTAGGAGGCTACGCGCGAGTCCCTCACACCTGCACAAAACAAATAAATCCTTGCAACCAACGCGATAAGGGG